GCTGTAGAGGCAACATTTTAATTCTTGCTCACGTCACATGTCCAAAGCAGGTCACACATGTTGTCACACAACATAGCCACTCCCAGGTTCAGGTTACCAGAGGCTCCTCGTGGACACGTGTCTCCACAATCACCGTGGCAGGGAACAAGACGTGGCCAATCACACACGGGCTTTTAAAGCTTTTGCCTGGAAGTGACCCACTTCACCTCCACTCAGTTCATTGGCCAAAGCAAGACATACAGCCACACCTTCAAGGGGGCAGGGAAGTACAGCCTGCCACGTGCCCAGACAGCATTAAGATCACACTCAGGCTTCCTCAAGAGGGGCACAGCAGCCTTTATGAGAATACTTATAGGAAATGCGGGAAGAGGCAGGGTCGTCTTGGGTTGGATCCCTTTGAGCATCTTAGCCCTCAACCCTGGCCATTAGCACTCAGCTCTGATCAGCATATCTGAATACCTCAGCGTCCACCACCCTCAAGCCCAGCTTGGTGAAGCAGCAAGTTAGTTTCAATAGTGTCTTGGTCAGCTCGGGCTGCTCTAACAAAAATACCGCAGACTGGATGGCTTAGACAGCAATTTGCTTCTCGCAGCTCTGGAGGCTGGAAGTCTGAGATCAGGTCCCAGCAAGGTGAGGTTCTTGGCGGGGGCCTTCGTCCTGGTTTACAGGTGACTGGGCACCTTCTGGCTGTGTCCTCATGGTAGAGAAAGAGAGAGCTCTGGCTTCTTCTTCTTCCTATAGAATCCCATCATGGGGGCCCCACCCTCGTGGCTTCATCTGAATCCAGTCACCTCCCAAAGGCCCCACTTCCAGATACCATCCCGTTGGGGATGGGGGCTTCAATGTGGGACCCAGGGGGGAGGACACGAACATTCAGTCCTCAGTGTGCAGAAAGCTCTGTCACAGAGCTCCCATTCTCTCGTGTTACTGCAGTCCCCTGATCCTTAAAATGGGGATAGTAATTGTTTTTTTTTTCTTTGCCCCTACCCATTGAGTTCCGATTAACTCACGGATGTGAAAGTGCTTTGATTATAACTCGCTTCATCTAAGGCATGGATGCTCGTCACGTTTACGGCCAGGTGGTGGATTTGAGAGGGTAAATCGGTCAAGGACTAGAAGCCCCCTCACTACCTTTAACTCCATCATTTCAATTCTTTGAACCTTGAAGCCTTTTCTAAGATCCCCTTTCTAAGAGATTCGTCCAGAGCCTGTTGGAAGGTCTGGCCGTGACCAGCTTCCCCCCTCACGCCGTCTCCCCCGACGGTGGCCACAGCTGCCCGCTCACCTTTAAGTCAGCGGTGTTTGTTCACGCAGCTTGAGCTTGGCCCCTGGCTACCTTAGCTGAGTCGCACACGCCTGTGCAGCTCTGAGGAGCCCTTCTCCGTGCCAGGCACCCTGCTCAGCACTGTACACGCGCTGGTTCGTTTCCTCTCAACAACGCCAGGAGGCAGGCCCGCTCCTGTGCCCTTTGTACAGAGCAAAAAGCTGAGGCTCAGAGAGGTGAGGGAACTAGCCCATGTCACCGAGTATGAGTCGGAGTCCGGCTTCAAATCCAATGGTATGGACTCCAGAGCGTGAGCCCTTGACCCTCAGGCTGGCTGGCCAGCCTCAGCCGGCCTCCCCTCTGCTCACTCGGCCCTGGTCGGTTTGGTCTCCGTTGCTGACAACCCCACTGTGTCCCTTGGACTCTCAGAGACAAGGCTTTCCTCTCACTTCTTCGGACATGGGGTGCTGATACTGTGGATTTCGCAATGGCGTAGTGCAAATGCAGGGGCACCGAAATGAGACCGCCAGGGTTCGAGTCCCAAAGATGCCATTTATTAGCGTTGTGACCTTGGGCAAGTTTCTTAACCTCTCTTATGTTCACCCAGATCATCTGTTAAAAAAAAACCTCTTATGGGGTCATGAAGAATCAGTGTGAGAATCCATGTCAATAGCTTAGCCAGTTTCCCACTTAGTAACAGTTTGCCATAAGTGTCAGGGACTTCTGAATCCTGTTCCTTAAAGCTAGGGGGCAGTAGGAAGCTCTGTACCCCAGACCCAGCTTCTTCATCTGGCTCATTCCCTGGGAATCTTCAGCTGTCTTTACCCCACTGGAGTCTTTCCAAGAAGAGGGACACAGCCAGCCTCTCCCGAGGTTCTCCTGCAGTAAGTTGTCCCATGAGATTCATCGTGAGGCCTCTCTGTGTGTCCCCTCTGTTCCATTTGAGATGCTTTCCAGGTGGGAGTTGCCTCCAATGTGCCGACTCTGTGGGAGGAGAGCAATGCTGTTTATCCATCGTCTCTGCGCAAAGCCTGGGGACAGACGCTGCCCCGCTCCCCGCTCCCAGCGCCCCCCCTCCTCCCGGAAGGAGCATCAGAAGGGCAGGAGCCAGTAGGGTGTGGAACCTGTGGGTTTTGTCCCCATCCACGCCGAGGGATCGCAGCCTCTGAATAAGAGCAAGCAGCTCCCAGGTGCACTGACTGGGCCTTGGCACCTGGACCTGGCCAGCAGACAGCAGAGGGACACTGTTAACAGCCCAGGTTCTGGAGGCAGACGGCTTGGGTTCAAATTCTGACTCTCCCACCAACTCGCTGTGTGACCTTGAGATTTACTTAACCTCTCTGGGCCTTGGTTTCCTCCGCTGTAGAGTGAAAATGATCTGCTCCATAGGGTCTTTACGGGGATTCTAGAAACACTGAGTGCCACCTCTGAGTAGTAGACTAAACAGTCGGACATGGGGGCCCCTTAAAAAGGGAACCTTAAAGTGGGGAACCGATGCCCATCTTCAGTTCCCATAGAACTACTGAGGGCATTTGATTCCTTCTGGAGTGGACCCTGGGCTATCCATTTGGGGGAGGGTATGACATTAATTCTCCAGGCCCACCTCTTCATGTCGTTAGGTAAAGGCACCAAGACCCAGGTGGGGTTGGGAGGGACCCTCTCCAGGTCATTCATTTGTTCCTTCTGCAATCTACTACTGAGGGGGTGAGAAGGCCTGTGGTTAAGAGATCCATCTCTGAAGCCAGAGTCCGAATCCCAGCTCCAGCGCTCACAAGGGTATCTCCCGGGGCAAAGGAAGGAACCACTCTGGGCCTCAGTTTCTTCATCTGCAAAATGGGGACAATAGTCACGCCTGCGTCACAGGGTCATGCTGGGGGTCACCTGAGCTAAAGCGTGACGAGCAGGTGGAAGATGCCCTGTAGACAGGAACTGCTCAGTTTGTGTTCGCTCTTGCTGTTCTTTAAGAGCTGTTTCAGCCGCTGTTCTTCATGCCGGGGACACACCGAGGGACAGGACAGCTTTGGTCCCCACCCCCGGGGCAAAGACAGACACTAAGCCAGCAGCCCACCAGTCTTTACATCCCACCAGTTGTGTCGTGTGCCAGGCCCGAGAGATGAGCACAGCAGTGTGTGAGAGCAGGGTCCCAGTCTGGGGCCCACATGGAGTGGGTGCACAACTGGCACTCGGACCTCGGGGCCTTGTCTCCTTGTCCAGTGCCCTCAGCCCACATGGCGTCTCTGTGCCATCTGAGGGGACAGCATGAGTCGGGGAACAGCCTTGCATCTTGGCACAAACCAACTGGGACCTCATAGGGGAGCCGAGGCAATGGCTACATTCTTTAGCCGACGCCCAGGCCGGGTGCCCTGGGAAAGGGAGTCCGTGGGGTGGCTAGATAACGGGTCGAGGGGCTGCGGGTGGCCTCCATGGGGAAATGACAAAACACAGGTGCCCAGATGCAGTCCAATTGGTGGGAGAAAACCAGAGGAAATCCCAAGGAGAAAAGGATATAAAAGCGATCGCTACCCTTTTTTGAGGACAAGACCCTGGGGTAAGCACTTTATATGCAGTAATCCTCAAGAGAATGCTGGGAAATAAACTACCATTTTACATGCCCGAGAGGGAGAAACTGAGTTTCACACAAGTTGCCACTGAGAAAGTGCTGGGTACGGAGGAGGAAAGGCAGGTGCCAGGAGCAGGAATGAGCTTCCTTAGAGGTGTTTGCGGAGGGCACGGTGCAAGGATCTCTCTTCAATTTGCTAGGAGCCCCCAAGGAAAGAGAGGAGTCCTAGAAGGGAAATGGCAGCAGGGGGATTCTAAAACAGCCCGCCCTCCGCGCCTTCATCCCGTGAGCTCATCAGCCGACAGGGAGCTGGAGAGATGGACAAGGCTCAAAGAGCATCCATTTAGTGCCTTTCATGGGGCTGCAGTGATGCTGGCAGCCCCCCCGGGGGAGCTCCCCTTGCAAATGCGCCCCTGGAAAGGTGGGTGGGAACTGAACTTGTGTAAATGGAGTCCAATTTTCCCAGCGATGTGGGGGCTCATTTCTGAGTGACCCTCGGTGGCCAGAGACTCTCCCACTGGACCCTCACTGGTTCCCCAGGGGACAGGTGGCGTCCGCCTGCCACCAGCACCGTGTACATGTATTTAAGCCATCCCTCCTTAATGTTCCGTGCAAAGACTCTTCAGAAGCCCGGCAGGCAGCCCTCCTTTACCTGAAGCTTTCAGATCTTGTCGTGCCTCTCCCTCCCTCCTTCAGCAGGTCCAGATGCAGCCTCTTAGCCGGAAGCCTCAGAAGCCCTGGGTGGCTTGGGCCTCCGCCACCCGCGGGGCTGACCGTCCTGGACATCCAGACTGGCCAGCCTCCAGCTCTCTCGGCAGTACGGGCACACTAAGCTGAGAGGCCTGGGTGTCTTCTGTCCTGATTATTTCCCCAGTTTTCCCCCCAAAAAGGAGATGATGGCTGTCTCTGGGATGGAATCCTACAGGCTTCGGGCTGCAATAGACAGATTCCTCCCACTATCAGATTCTTTAAATGAACCCATAGCCAACGCCTATTCCCATCCCCGACACATTCCATCCTATTCATTCATCCATTCACTCACTTATTCAACAAATGAAGCACATCCGTTCATCCATTCAATTCATTGCTGAGCACTGACTCTAGGCCCAACCCGGAGGACAGACAGACTTCTTGCCTGAATTCTAGGAACTGACAGCCTCCCAGCTGGGTGGGGAGCAGGCTCCTTGTCCGTCTTGGTGACCTCTGTGGCCTAGGCCCCACACAGTGTCTGGTGCACAGCAGATGTTCCATGTCCACTTGTTGCACGGACACATGACACGTGGAGAGTGGGATAGCTGACCTGTGCTGGTGGCGGCAGTCCTCTCCAGCACAGGACCCCGAGGAGGCTTCATGGAGGTGGTGGCATTTGAGCTGGGCCTCGTAGGATGGGTAAGATCTCCTCTGGGGGAGAGGGAGGAGCGGGGGCTGCGTTCCTGGTAGAGCCAGCAGCTTCAGAAGAGACACAGAAAGGCCAGGCTTGTTTAGAGGAAGAGCAAGTGGCCTTGACTGGCTGGAGCATGGAGTAAAGGGGATCGGGTAGGAGGATCAGAAGCAGGGGTTTGTTACCCACACCAGCTAGATATGGGCCCAAGGTGGGAGGTTCAGAGGAAGGAGACCAGAATGTGAGAAGCCCCGGGTTCTAGAAGCCTAGAACAATCAGACTGGATCCAGAGAAGCTGTCGACTCTGCCCCCACTTTGGTGGGAGTGTTGGTGCTGGTTGAGTGCAGCAGTCCTCGGAGGGTGTGAAATTGGGGCATGAAAGCATGGACTTTCTAGAGGGGTCAGCAACAGGAAGAGGATGAGGACCCTCGGCCCAAGGTAAGCAGTCAGGAGGTCAAGGCCGGAATTGCTTGGGGGGCTCACAGTCTGCATCTCGCCCAGGCCTGGCAGAGCCCACTCAGCCAGGGGCCCTGATTCTGTGGACATCGTGGGGTGTGGGGGGATCTGTGACGACGAGCGGCCTCGAGAATGGCTTTCCAGATGGAGGGAGGAGGTCTGCCATGACGTCCCTGGGACAGTAATGAACTTGGGGTGAAAGGGGTCGGGCGGATTTCAGCTCGAAGGGCAGAATCAGAGTGGGTACTGGGATGATGGGTACTTTGTGAGAAACCCAAGGATCCTCCAACTCTGTCAGCTCGGAGGCCTGTGCAGGGGTCACCCAGCCCAAGAAGTGGGCCTTGCTGGGAGGGCCTATGGAAGAAGGCAGAGAAGAGAAGCCCCCAGCCCCTTCAGGACTCACCTGCTTCCCACCCACTTGCTTGACGGGCATTCTCTCCTTCATCCGCCCGGTTTCTGAGGGGTGGGCACCGTCATGCTCCCATTTTACAGATGCAGAAGCTAAGACACAAAGAGGTTAAGTAACTTGCTCAAGGTCACACGATATATAAGTGGCAGAGCCCAGCCAAGGAGCTGGCCCAAAGCCACCAGGAAGTGGTGTCAGGACTCTAACCCAGACAGTACTCTAGACACTGGGACCTAGCCGCTGCCCGCCAAGCAAGTTTGCCCCTTCCCGATCTCTTTCTGAAGAGCAAACATCCCCTGGCAAGGGGGGTGACGCCCCTCTCTGGGACGCCAGGACCCCTGATGCAGGCGCTCTCCACCCTGTCATGATGACTGCGCACGAAGCAGGGCCCCAGCACTCTCCTCCCTGCTCCCTTTGCTGCGCATCCTTCCTGCGTCGCGTCTAAATCAAGTCACACGCTGCGGGTACCTCTTGGCCCAGTCTCTGTTCTCAGCCTAGAACACTGCACCCCAGGCTGTTCCAGGACACAGGCCTCCCCAGAGGCATCTTCTGGAGCCTGGGGGGTGGGCAGGGGCTGGCTGAGCTCACGGCGTGACCAGGATCACAGCCACAGCTTGAGAGGCTGCAGAGCCTGGGGAAGCTCAGGGTCCCTGAGGCCCACAGCCCCAGTTCACCAGGCTCCTGGTCCTCCCTCCTGCCCTCCCTCCGTCCCTCCCTCATCACTCTCTCCTTGCTCAGCATGGACTGGAAGCAGCCGGGGAAGGGAAGGGACAGGCTTCCCATCCCATCCAGCCTGACCGCTCACCAGCTGTGTAATTCTGGGTTCCAGACCTCTCTGCCATGCCTCATTTTCCCCACTTGTAAAGTGAGGGTGGGTGTGAGCATTAGCAATGACTGTACAGCACTGGAACCTGGTAGGCACCCCCATTTAGAGCTCCTCGTCTGACCCGAGCCCTGCGCAGGAAGCTGGGACACAGGCGGAGAAGGAGGTACGCACCCTGTTCTTCCAGCACTCGCAGCCCTGCGGGGTTGACGTGCATTACAGAGGGGCAGTCACAGCGCTTCCCGATGTGAGAGGTGACAGGCAAGTGCCCAAAGGCTGTGGAAGGTTTGAGGAGGGCGTGTCTGATGGGCTGAGATGTCAGGGAAGGCTTCATGGAGGAGGCAACAGTGGAACTGGGCCTTGAATGGCGAACAGGACTTTGAACAGCAGAGAAGAAGGCAACCATCATTATAGGAACAGACTCCAGGGTGGGGAAGAACCTGATTTGTTCCCGGCATGAGAAGGTTAGTGTGTGTGGAGCAAAAGGAACAAGCAACACATGGCAGGAGGTGACCCTGGACAGAGATGGGGACCCGACAGGGAAGAGCCTTGAATGCCATGCTAGGAGTTCACCCTGCCCTGTCGGACAAAAGCAGTGGGGAGCCATTAAACTCAGGGAAAAGGGAGGCTCTTGTTCGTGTGTGCGTGTGTGTGTGCGCATGCACACACACACACACACACACACACACGAGGTGATGGAGTGGAAGGTAAACCACTAGGAGGGTGAAGGATTAGGCCAGAGTTGGTAGAGACGGTCCAGGAGAGAGCAATGAAGCAGCAGCAATGGGGATGGAGAGGAGGGAGGATTTCAAGAGAGCGCTTGGGTGCAGGTGTCAAGGCTCAGGGAGAAGCTTAATGCAGGAGGCAGTGTAGCCTGATGGTTAAGCACAGGGGCTCTGTGGTGCTGCTTGGGTTCAGTTCTCAGCCTCATAACCTATTGGCTGTGTGGCCTCAGACAAGCTACCTCACCTCTCTGAGCTTTGGTGTTTTCTACCATAAAACAGGAATACTAAGAGCTCCCACCTCTGAGGGCAGTTGCCAAGTTGTATATATAAAGCATTTGGGATGATGCTTCATCCCTTCGACAAATATTTACTGAGCACCAACTATGCCCTGGCATTATTCTTGGGAAGTGGATATAGAAGTGGACAAACTAAAACAAAATCCCTGCCCTCGTTGGGGACTTCACTCCAGAGAGTTGGGGGATACAAGATAAGTAAGCGGAATATACGCATGTGAGATGGTGATAAGTGCCGAGGAGAAAACAAGCAAGGCAGGAGGGATAAGACGTGCTGAGAGTTTGGGATTTTACCCGTGACCCATGTGCCTGGGTGAGCGGTTTTGGAGATGGAGCGGTCACGGACGGTCTCCAGTTCAAGGTGTGAGAGTGGAAATGGGAGGCTGAGCTGGAGGGGAAGCGAAGGTTACTGACATGCGGGGTCAGGGAGTGGGAGGCACTGTTCCCATGGATGCTCCAGTCACCCAGGTGATGGCCGGGCTCGGGGAGCAGAGGGAGCCAGGAGCCAGGTGCCAAGAGTTTGCTAAAAGGAGGGTGGGACCAGGACCTGGGAGAGGGTAAGCCAAAGAGTGTCAGTCCCCCCACCCACGGAGAAGGGGTTTCATAGAAAGGTAGAAGAGCAATGGTCTTGGAGCAGCTGTTGGGACTAAGGACGGCACCCACCCCACCTCCCAACTCTAAGGGGCGACAAGGAATAAGCACCCACTCCTGGAGAGGACTGAGGGGGAAGCAGGTTCTCCAGCAAGGACACAGACAGAATCTCCAGAGAGGCACGGAATACTGGGAGCCCTCTGGCTGTGGAGCGGTGGCTGCAGGGACACAGTGGGGGGTGACAGGAGAGGCAGGAGATGGCCAGGGGCTGGCTCAGGGTCGCAGAATAACAGAGTGTCCCTTAGGGCCTGATAGTCTGTTAAAAGATGGGTGGGACCCACGTACTGCCAAGGAGGGTGTATTTGGGATGCTGACTCTGACTGATAGACACTGGGACGAGAGTGTGATGGGTTTAGTGTCAACAGCTCTGAAGAGCTGCCCCGGGCCTGGTAGCTAGGGACTTTTCTCCTTCAGCTGGATGCATGGGAAACCCAGAAACAGCCAGCTTTACATTATGATTACGTATTGATTGGTTCAGTCATTCAACGAATATTTATTCATCACCTACCAAGCACTATTTAAAGTCCTCGGGGGATGTCAGCGAGAAAAACAGGCCCAGAATCCTCACCCATGTGGAGGGGAAGCAGATGATTGGGACCAAACCTAATGCATATTTTATATACAGTATGTTAGTGACACGTGCTGTGGGAAGAATAAAAATGGCAGGATGAGGGATTGGAAGTACGATGGAAGCATGGGTTGCAAGCTTAAATACAGTGTTAAGGCTGGGCCTTCCTGAGAATTTGCCATTTGAGCAAAGACTTGAAGGAGTGAGGGAACGAGCCACACAGCTATCTAAGGGAAAAGCATTCCCAGAAGTGGGAACAGCCAGTGCAAAAGATCTAAGGCAGGAGAAGGGCCAGCATGAAGTCAAAAACGGGGAGTTCAGAAGGGAAACGGGCGTGAGGCCAGATCAGGGGCCCTGAGGGACGTGGCGAGTCGTCAGGGGGTTGTACCGGAGAGTCATGTGACTGGATCCGTGTCTTCAAAGTGTCACTCTGTCTGTTTCATTGGGAATAGACTGTAGGGGAACAAGAGGGTGGTAGCAGGGGAGGGGACAAGAGGGGCTCAGATTTGGAATCTGTTGGCTTGCAGCTTTATTTAAGGTCTGTCTCTTCCATTAGTTTATGTCTCATACTTGCCTTGTTCCCCACTGTCTCCCCAGCACCTAGGCGATCACGAAGGGTGAGTGTCCTTGGGAAGCTGCTGACATTCATTCATTCATTCATTTCCTTTATAAATATTTACTGAGTACTGGTTATGTGCCAGGCGCTGTGCTGGGTGCTTTTTGTAGATTATTCAATTTCATCTTCACAGTGCTGGTGGTGGGAGGTAGTGGCCCCTCCGCTCACCCAGTTTTGTAGACGAGGGAACCAGCAGTCAGAGAATAAAATGACTCACTCAGAGTGAGTGAGAAAGTAAGTTATCCACCGGGATTCAAATCCAGGCTTGTCTGGCTCCAAAGAGGCTTGCCCAAAGGTTGCGATCCTTCAGGGCTTACGAGTTCTAGACCATCAAGGAAATCTTGAGGGCCCAGCCCGGTGGCTCAGCAATTAAGTTCACATGTTCCACTTCAGTGGCCAGGGGTCACCGGTTCAGATCCTGGGTGCAGACCTACACACTGCTTGGCAAGCCATGCTGCTGCAGGCACCCCACATATTAAAAAGTAGAGGAAGATGGGCACAGATGTTAGCTCAGGGCCAGTCTTCCTCAGCAAAAAGAGGAAGATTGGTGGCAGATATTAGCTCAGGGCTAATCTTCCTCAAAAAACAAAAAGAAAGAAAACAGAAACAGTCTTGCTATTTCAGTCGCACCGACGCCTCCTGTAACCAGCATAGAATTCTCAGGGTTGAGGTTCAGCTCAACATGTCATTCAAAGAAACTCAGGCCAACAGCCCACAGAATTCAAAGTTTTCTTTGTGCCTTTTAAAGAGCATTAAATGGGACCCAGTTTGTAACTCAGGGCACCCCTTCTTAAGAATCCTCTCTTCTGCCCCCCACTTCTCCCAGTGGCTGCTCTAAGTTTTCTGTGTTGACCCTGACACACTAAAACCATCACCCTGACACTGTTCCTGAAGCAAAGC